GAGAATAGAGCTGATAGAATCTTCTGATTTTTGTCACTTTAGGTTACAGTGACAAAGTCAGTAGCAATATTAATAAAGACAAATTAGGCTTATGTTCACAAATATTGCTCTTGCTGAGACAGTAATTCTTTTCCAAGGATTTATCTTTAAAAAATCCTTCAGAAGAAACACTTTTATGTACAAAATATTATCTGTAAAGGTAGAAAATGATAAATCATGAATAACAGTATAAGAAGAGTGACATAAATCATAGCAAATTGATGGAACATTGTAAAATAATGATTACCGAAAAACAGTATGGTATGCTAAGAAAAAAAAAAATCAGAATGAGGAGCTTTATACTGTTTTTTAATAGTGTAAAATGTGTGCTTAGATTAACAGAAAAGGGAAATATTTGTGAAGGTATTGGACATTTCATGACTTCTCCCCAGATACATACTTTTATTTATATTATTTATACTGACTTTATAATTTAAGAGAAAATATAGAAATAATATATTAGCATATAAGAAAACATACTAGAAATATTACCAAATAGTTCGTTGGAAAACTCTTGAGCCTTTTTTCTTAGTCTCTCCCAAATTTTGCCTCATTTATTTCATTTGTTTGGTTGATCATTTTAATCTAGGACCTGGAGTAAATTTAATTGATTACCATTAAATTAGACATGGTATTTTTTCTTTCTTTTTTTGGGGGGGGCGGGGGTGGTTTGCTAGGGATTGAACCTAGGGCCTTGTACATGCTAGGCGAATGCTCTTGTCACTGACCTACATCCCCAATCTGAATAGTATCTCCATAGAACTTTACTGATGACCTTGTTTTATGATGTTCAGATTTTTTTTTTTAAACCAAGGAATCTTATCTTTACATTTTACTTGGGAGACTGATATGTAAATAAAAAGCAGGGCTTCTGTGGTTTAAATGGTCTTTCTGTTTGATCCTCTTCCCTTTGCTAGTTCAGTGGCACCATTTCCCTTGCAGATATTTTCTTCTAATTGTAACTATACAGTGTTTTATAATGTTATCCATTATTTCATCTGAGACAGCCATCATTTCTTCATCATTCCTCAACCTTAATTTCTTTATATTAATGCAAGGAGGTTGAATGAGACCAACAATTCTTATAGAACTAAGGAATTTTTTCAGGTTTTCATGGCCCAAGATTCTTATACCATGCCCTTAACCATCTCAAAATTATAAATTAATTGGTAACCCTTTATTTACTTATAGAAGTTTGTTTGGATAGGAAGCATTTAAAGTCTAAAATTCTATTTTCTTTGGGAAGTTATTATGATAATGGTTGATTTTGGGAGATTTTGAACACTGAAGCTGTAGTGACTTGTTCAGTGCTTAAGCGCTGACGTTCCAGGAGTAGGCTTATAACTCTTTAAATTTATCACTTCTTCCTAGTCACTTCTGATCACCCCCACCCCTACTCACATTCTTTTTAAAGCAAAACAAAGTGTGTCTTGGGAATACAAAACACACATACACACATAAATGGAAGAATTTCTTCAAGTAAGGGTAGGGGATAAATTATGTTGTCTTACCTTCCCTAACAATTTGGGAGACTCTCTGTAGTAAAATACCCTTGTGATTTAGGCAACTTTGGTTCACTGGCACTTGACTGCTTAATGACTTTTTCTTCTCTATTGATTTTATAGACATCATTGAAAGCCTCAGTGAGTTTAAAATAAATGCTGCCTGATTTGAAATTTCAGGAGGGGGTTCCTGAGGAAACTGATGACTTTGGCGAGTTTCGGATGCGGGTATCAGACCTGGTGAAAGATTTGATTTTCTTGATTGGGTCTATGGAGTGTTTTGCTCAGGTAAGCCTGTTTGGAGATTCTTGAGTCAATTTTACTGATCACCTTAATTGTTTTCACTTCTGTGTCTTCTGTTAATGTTCCATCATATTTCTTCAAGCTTAATGGCTAAATGGAATAGTAGTTATACAGGTGCCTAGCACATTGCCTGGCATATTTAAGCTATGTTTATTTAGTATCTAACAAGGGAACTGCAGTCTGTGGATAATTCAGTTATGGATTACTCTGTTACTCTGGCTAATAAGAGCTATTCCACTTGTGCAGCTAGAATGGAAGATCACAGATAAGCATTAAAGCTTCCAGGATACGTATACGGAATTTGGACTATGTACCAACTCCTGGCAACTCTTTTAGTTATTTGGCATTTCCTTTGTCCACACTTAAGGTTAGATTTCCTGTGCAGCTTCATCCCAGAGGATGACTATAGTAGAGTAGAAGATTCATAGTCCTGTGGTTTTCCTGACAGTGAGTAACATTTTATCTCATAAGGTTACAATCATCATCATTCCACATCACTTAACATTAGCATAATTTCAGGTGGTTTTCATATTTCTGGTTCATACTCTAATGATCTCTGAAGTTTTAGTTTGGATCCTTTGCTATATAGCAATACCAAACTAACCTAAAGGAATTTTGTAGGGAAGGTAACTCAGTCACTTTGTATGTATTTGACCATAATCTGATCTAGGAAGTGTTAATAAACTTATAACTATTTTCATTACAAAGCATGGTTTTTGATTCAACTATGAAGGGTTAGAGATTTCTTAGGAAGTTTAGTGAGATCCCTAGACTCTAGGCAGAAGACTTGGGTACAGATTTTAGCTCTTTCCTCACTGGCTGTGGTTAATTTATTTTAATTAATCATGTTGCCAGGATGTGCTCTGTGGAATAACAGTCTATGAGATGTTTTGTTATGTTTGAGGGAGGAGGAAAGGAGTTAAATTAAGTAAAATTGGGAAATGATCTAAAATAGTATATATATATATATTTTGGGGGGGGGGTACTGGGGGTTGAACATGGGGGTGGGGGTGCTTTATCACTGAGCCATATCCCTAGCCCTTTGTATTTTTTGAGATAAGCCTTTGCTATGTTGCTGAGGGCAGCCTTGAATCCCTGCCTTAGCCTGGGATTACAGGTGTATGCTAATATAGTATATTAAAGCCTCTCTAAGGTCAGACAAGAGAGTTGTTTAATTTTGTCTTTCCTGGTAGTATCTGTTATTTGACCATAGAAGTCTTACTTAGATTAATGTCTAGTCACATTCCATAGGTGACTATTACCTGGAAAATTCTGGACCAGAACATCTCTGATTCCTTCTTAAAAATATTCTTCTTAGATATGGTATTGCAATAGATCCTCCTACTAGGTGCTTTTACAGGAGTTTAGCCTCTATTAATAGTGTTGGTGCAAATAGTTAAAATAGTAGAAAGGTACAGCCAATATACATGCAGAAGATTTATATTGTATCTCCATTTTGAGTGTGTATGTATTTATCAATTATCAAGACCAAAAAAAAGACACTAATATAATATGTTTTGTTTTTCCCATTATACTCATTTTCTGAAGTCTTGATAAATTCTTGTAGGGGGTATAAATGGGTGTATTTCAAATATTAAAATAACAGTTTTAATTAGTGAGAATGTGAAAAATAAAAATATTCATGCCTGGCTGTGAGAGATAATTAAATTTAGAAACAAGGAGCTGGATTTCTTTTAACTAACAATGTTTTTTGTTTTGGTATTCTGTTTTCCTCTTAATGGATCCACAATCCACCTCTTCTTCTCTAGTTATATTCTACTCTGAAAGAAGGCAACCCACCCTGGGAGGTGACAGAAGCGGTTCTCTTTATCATGGCTGCTATAGCAAAGAGTGTTGATCCGTGAGTGTCTAATAAGTCTTTTGCTGGGAATTCTGAATATCAAGAGGAAGGAAAATTACACATTTTTTCTCCTATTTGGTATATGTTTGGAAACTCTTAGAACTTTTTACCTTCTATAGTGTTTTCTAGTGTTCTGACTAGTCCAGGATGGCCTGCATTTCTGTTGCCATGTTTTAACCACACTTTCTAGAGGTAAAATTATTTTACTTTTGATGCTAGGAATAGAATGCTGATTTATTTTTTCCAACCGTGGCACCTTTCCAAAAGTAGGTATAGATCAATAATTCATTAGACTATTAAATTGTTGGTACTTGCTTAAAAGCAATAGGTATTAATTTGGGTCTCCTGCTTTTTTGGTCTTGTGCATATTATCTTTACATATATTTAATTATATTGTATTCCTTTTTTCTGTCTTAGAGAATAATTTGTGAATATCAGAGAGTCAAGGCATAGGCACCATTTCATCTAAAAGAACAGCAATATCTTAAGGGCAGTTGTTATTTTTATTATTGCCATTGAAACTTTTAAGTTATTTCAAATTTGATTTTTAAATTGCTTAGCATAGAAAATCTACTTAAGACATGAAACTGTAAAGACAATTTACTTTGTACCATGAATTTATACATTGGTGTTAATATCTGTTACATTACTTTGTATTTTGATCAGATACCTGCACTCAAACTCTTTATTCAGGGCCTTGATGGGAAGATGGTTAAGGCAGATATTTATTAAAAGCACAGTACTTCTTTCTGAGTTGCCTTTCAGGACTTAGTCACTGATATCTTACATTGTTTCTATATAATAAATATTCACAGAGATAGAGTGGGTTTATTTTTCTCTATTAAGAAGTTCTAGTTCATAATTATATATTATACTATTTGCTTTTCAATCTAATCTGATTTGGTGTTGTTTTAGAACATTCTGAAGGTTTTAAAGTCATTACTATTCTTGCTTGAAAAAAATGTATAGGTAATATTCAGTAATTGGCTTAGTGTCCCCTAGGGAAAAATAAGGTGTAAACGAGAGAAGATTTTTTTCTATTGTTTACTTGCTTGTCAAGCCAACTGAATAATTATAATTTTTTAATCCATTTAAAGGGCTTAATAGACCTTATTGTCAGTAGGGGGTGCACTTGGTCTAATCCAGAATACTTCTTATATTTTAAACATCTTCATTTCTGGATTAAGTCCTGCCACTTTGGGGCATCTTTCACTCTGTTTTTAAAAAAACCTTAGCCAGTAATATTGGACTGGGGATGGAGATAAATTCATGTCACTATAGAAAGTACCTAACTTTAATTTTCCCATGTGTTTCATATTGGAGCACCTTAACCTATTGCTGCAGCTTGTTTTTGTGTTCTTTTATTTTAGTTAGTGAATTGGTCTACCCATACTCTTCTGTTCTTAAAGTTTCCAGTATTCAACCATAAGAAATCTTTTAAAGAATAGCAAGTAATAGAAAGTGGTCTGTGAGAGTTATTCATATTCATTTAGCCATTCAGCAATATTTGTTGGGTGCCTACTATGTGCCAGGCACTGTTCCAGGTTTAGTGTCCCCTAGGGAAAAATAAGGTGCTACAGATATAGAAATAAATGAAATAGATTCTTTAAAAGAAGACATTAATCCCCAGTGAATGTCTGCCTTTCCCACTGGAAGAGCCTCTCTTTGATAGCATCATGAGGCCTTAAACACTTTCCTCACATTGAGAAAATGAAAGTGCTTCTCCTGAAACAATGTTATCTTTCATCTTTTGTGAGGATTTAAGAAACATTCTTACCCAGTATTAAAACACATTTATTTGAATGGTTATTTCTTTAGAAAGAAGCCCTGTAGCAGTATAGTGTTTCACTGTAGCCTGTTATTTGGCCAGAACATAACCTCTATAGTCAGTAACTGAGTGCTTGCTTTTTATATTCAGGGAGAACAATCCAACATTGGTGGAGGTCCTAGAAGGAGTCGTTCGTCTCCCAGAGACTGTCCATACAGCCGTGCGATACACCAGCATTGAGTTGGTTGGAGAAATGAGCGAAGTGGTTGATCGAAATCCTCAGTTCCTTGGTATGTGTAAACTCTCCCATGTGCTGCTGCTTCTGATTTTCTTTTCCTTGGTTACTTTTATTCTTTTCTTGCTTTCTTTTTTTACTGATAAGTATAACGTTTGTAGACAGAATAAATATATTATAAGTTGCATAGATGACACAACATTTGTAATCTGATCTGGGAGAAGGACCTTTGAAAAATTAGATCTCTAGACAAGGAAAAGGTCTGGTACTTTGCTTAAGGTCTGGTTTTGCTAGTCTTTGGCAAAATGTATGAGTTAATCTGTCTGTAGTTCTAACCTAGAAGCACTCATAGACTAAAGGAGAGGGGTTTTCTGTGTTAACTACATGCTCCATTTAAAAACTTAAGAATTATCATTCAAAACAAAATAAATACAAGTGAAAATGAACAGCAGTGAGAAATATAACTTGTCTACCCTTATTGACTTGAAAAAATAAGTAAAACTCATATAAAATAATGTTAGAATTGAAGGTCAAATTAGAAACCATGTATCCTAATCCCTTCATTTTGTAGATAAGAACTCTTAAAACCCAAAGTAAGTAATTAATCCAGTGTAATATGTATTAAGGCCCTGACATTAAAAGGGATACATTCTGAGGGGAAAAGATGAGTAGAAATACTGGGGGTGTACTTTAATGATAAAGTATACCCAAGGCCCTGAGTTCAATCCCCACATATATACATAAAGAAATTCATTTTTACAGATTAACTTTCTTGGAACACTAGCATTTGGCAAAATTAAGACTTTTTTTTGGTTTTAATATTTATTTAGTTAGTTGTAGTTTGATGTAATACCTTTATATTATTTATTTGTTTTTATGTAGTGCTGAGGATCGAACCCAGGGCCTTGTACATGCTAAGCAAATGCTCTACCGCTGAGCCACAGCCCCAGACCCAAGACATAGTTTTTTTGTTTTTGTTTTTTTAGCTTTACTTTTTTTTTTTTTTTTTTTAGTTGTAGTTGGATGCAGTACCTTTATTTTAATGTGGTGCTGAGGATCGAGCCAAGGGCCTTGCACACGCTAGGCGACTGCTGAGCTGCAACCCCAGTCCCCCAAGACATAGATTTTTTTTTTTTTTTAATATTTTTTTTAGTTGTAGTTGGACATAGTATCTTTATTTTTATGTGGTGCTGAGGATCGAACTCAGTGCCTCACACGTGCAAGGCGGGTGCTGTACCAATGATCTACAGCCCCATCCCAAGACATAGTTTTAATTAAACAGTTTTTAATGAATTTATCTAGAAGTGCTAAAGATTCTTCCACATAAATTTATAGCTTTTTATAACTAGAAAGATACAAATATAGCTAGAAAGATACAAACATAAAAATGTCAGCTTTAGACAACTATCATTGTCCTGATTAGTATAGGCTGTTTTACTAAGTGATTCATCTCTTGGTATAATGGTAATCCTCTGAGCCTTACATTCTTTCTTACATTAACATATTTTAATAACTAAATGGCCATATATACTGTGGAATTAGTGGTTTTCAAACTGTACTTCAGGAATCCAGACAGTTAGAAGGAATAGTTGACTAATATAAGGGAAGAAATGGAAGATGAAATAGATGGGGCTCAGGGCCTCCTAACACTGTGTCTGTCAGATCAGCTCTGTTTTTATGCTTTTTAATTTATATATTTATTATTGATTGATTGTTTGGTGCTGGGGATTGAACCCAGGGGCATTTAACCACTGAGCCACATCCCAAGCCCTTTTTAGTTTGAGACAGGGTCTCACTAAATTGCTTAGGGCTTCAGTAAGTTGCTGAAGCTGATGTTGAACTTGCATTTCTCCTGCCTCAGCCTCTCAAATCTCTGGGATTACAGGCATACGCCACCATGCCCAGCTTTATGCTTTTTCTATTGGGGATTCTTTAAATACTTTGTTGTTTAAAAAATATTCTTTTACTTAAAAAATTGTAACTTCTGCTTTAACTAGAAGTTTTCCTTGAGTTTCAGATTTATAATCTCTGCTTTACTTTCCAGACCCTGTGTTGGGCTATTTGATGAAAGGCCTATGTGAAAAGCCTCTGGCTTCTGCTGCAGCCAAAGCCATTCATAATATTTGCTCTGTCTGTCGAGATCACATGGCTCAGCACTTTAATGGACTCCTGGAGATTGCTCGTTCTCTTGACTCCTTCATGTTTTCTCCGGAAGCTGCAGTGGGCTTGCTAAAAGGTATTTATTTAATAATGCTAACCAGTAACTATTTCCTCTGAGCTTCTATTTGGGGTTGTTTTATATACATCATAAAATTGTTTTTCAGTTGTAATAAACTTAGTGATGGTGAAGGTAGCTTTTCCATTCAGGGGAGGGTGTACATGCATTGTTTTCTTAAGATATTTTAAGGTCGGGGCCAGGGCTATAGCTCAATTGGTAGAGTGCTTGCCCTGCATGCATAAGACCCTGGGTTCAATCCCCAGCACCACCACCAAAAAAAGATATTTTAAAGTCTACAAAATTAAATCATGCTGTTGGCAAGTATGTAAAGCACAGGTATAGATTTTGGGTGGAGGCGGCACATTTGAACTAAATACAGTTACTTTTTACATTAGACTTACTAAGGAAGTAGTGCTATAAAAAAGAATTAAGTAGATATTGAAAGTTGGTGTGCATGGATCAGTGCCATGTGTTGAAGCCAAGGGTTCTGGTCTCGTATTAGTCTCTATCATTACTGATCAGCTTACACTGAGTGTCTGCCTATCCAAACACAGTGGTTAGGGGCTTAGGCTAATAGAACCAGAGTTATGAAGATTAGGGAAAGCAGGGTGCAGTGGCTCATGCCTGTAATTCCAGAGACTTGGGAGACCAAGGCAGGAGGATTGCAAATTCAAGGCCAGTCTCATCAACTTAGAGAAACCCTTAACCACTTAGTAATACCCTGCCTCAAAATAAAAATAGAAAGGACTGGAGATAGCTGGGCATGGTGGCACAAGCTTGGGAGGCTGAGGCAGGAGGATCCATAGTTCAAAGCCAGCCTCAGAAACTTAATGAAGCCCTAAATAACTAAGACCCTGACTCAAAATAAAATTGACTGAAGATGTGGTTCATTGGTTAAGTACCACTGGGTTCAACCCCCAGTACCAAAAAAAAAAGAAAAGAAAAGAAAAGAAAAAAACAGATTTAAGGAAAAATATAGTGGAGTGTAGTAGCACATAACTTGGGAGGCTGAGACAGGAGAATTGCAAAGTCAGCATGAGAAACTTAGTGAGACCCTGTCTCAAAAGCAGGACTGGGGTTGTAGCTCAGCAGTAGAGCGCTGGCTAAGCACGTATGAGGCCCTGAGTTCGAACCTCAGCACCACATGTAAATGAATGAATGAATGAATGAATGAAATGTGTCCAACTACAAGTAAAAAAAATAACAATAATTAAAAATAAATAAATAAAAAGGGGCTGGAGTTGTGGCTCAGTGGTAGAGTGCTTGCCTAACGCATGTGAGGCACTGGGTTCCCTCCTCAGCACCACATAAAACTAAGTAAATAAAATAAAGGTATTGTGTCTATCTACAGCTAAAAATATATATATTTAAAAAAATTAAAAGGGTTGGGCATTTAAAGTACCTTGGGTTCAATACCCAATTAAAAAAAAATTAGAATAGACTTTAAACAGGATGGTTATTTATAAACATTTGAAAGATTACTTTATAAAAAAGTGGATCCTGTTTATTTTGAGGAATTATCAACCGCATATAGGGAAATATATACTGGCTCCTAGAAAGAAAATAATTTCTGGTCTTTCTTTCTGAAGACAGATTGAGTGTTCTGTGAGGTAGTAAAATCATTATAGCTGGTAGAGAGGGTTGGAATATATTAAATAAAGGGTTGGATAATACAAACTGTACAGTGTCTGAGTTTCTGTGGGCATCAAACAGCCTTTGCAAGGCTTTAGAAGACCTTATGCATGAACTAATTCTCTTATTTCTGTGACCAGGTTCCTTACCAGTTAATATGACTACACATTTCCCATAGATTTTATTTTTATACCATAGATTTTGCCTTCATGGGTATAGATAATAAGGCATTGATTAAATCAGTCAGCTGTTCTTTCTTGTTATTTTCTAGTGACATTTAACTATGATACTAAAGTAATATCTAACTTGTAGTAGATTATGGCTTCCAGTTACGATATCTTCTAGATGTAGAAGAGTTTTTATTTACATTCTCTTCTGTAGAAATGAATTAAAAATGAAAATTAAAAGATAGGCGTGGTGATACACACCTATAATTCAAGCAACTCAGGAGACTGAGGCAGAATGATCACAATTTTAAGGCCAGTTTTAGCAATTCAGCAAGACTTTGTCTAAAAAATTAAAAAGGCTGGGGATGTAGCTCAGTGGTAAAGTGTATTTAAGTTACACCTCCCCCAACCACTTCCCTCCCCACTAGTTTTAAAGAAATGTCTAACCCATCTATGGCTCATAGACTGCCAGGAAAAAAAATCACTCAGTTTTTTAAATTCAGATTTTAAGGATTACTGTTATATTGAATGATAATTAAAGAAATGAATAAGAATCAGAGGGTTTTTGACTTTGCAGGGACTTTGGCTGATATGTGTTTCTTTGGATTTGGGGAAAATATTTCAGTGGTTGGTGGGGATAGAGAACCAATCCTTCTTCCAGCCCCACTGAATCTAAACATTGTTTCTTGTGGATTTGTGGATTGTTTGTTTTGTTTTGTTTTTTATGCTGTTGAGCTCAAAGGTAGCATTTATTTTGGCGGAAAATGCTGATAGGATAAAGGTAGCTTGATTATTAATTTTCTATTCAAATCACTTTCACACATAAAAAAAACTGAGGCTCAGAGATAATGTTTCACAAAGCTCACAGAGTGTGTTATGGTAGAATGCAAATGAAATCTTTGACGTCAGCCCATCCTTCCTAAAAGTATTATGTCAGTGTTTCTCAAACTTCTCTGATTGTATTTGCCTGAAGTACTTAGAAAAAATTAAGTCTCCTCTTGACCCACTAAATCACAATCTCTGTGAAGGATGAGAAATATTACATTAATAGTGTATAGAAATAGTTTGGGCATTTGCTTTTTAAAGGAGATTTTTAAAGTCTTTGAATAATTGGAAGGGAAGTCATATTTACACCATCTTTAAGCCAGTTAGTGCTACAGAGAATATTATTAGTAACAACTTTGGTTATAAAACTCAATGTGATAGTCAGCCTGTGGTCTTTTAAGCCAAATAAAGAAAAAAAAAATCATAAATAACAAAATGTTGCATCTTAAAAACAGTGCTGATTTTTTTAAAATAATGAAACCGGTCAGCTTTTTCTGTTAGTCTGTATGATGTAGACTGATTAATTGAATTAATCCAATTATTTTCATTTGCATCTTCCTTTGTTTTTCAGGGACAGCTCTTGTTCTTGCCAGATTACCGTTGGATAAGATTACTGAATGTCTTAGTGAACTATGTTCTGTTCAGGTTATGGCATTGAAAAAGGTGAGTCCAATTAAGCAAGGGAAGAAACAAATACAAGATATTAATATGTTAGAAAATAAGACAAAATTACTTACTTGTCTTTCATCTGCCTAGAAAAGCCAAAAGAATAAACTGAAAATTTATTAAAATTAGTAAGTGTCAAAGTAGCTACATATAAGAAAAAAAGTACTAGCAATGCATTCCTTTACAACAGGGATATATTCTGAGAAGTGCCCCTGGGTAGTAGACTGTTCTGTATTTTTGTGTATGATAGAGTGTACTTAATACAGACCTAGATTGTTTAGGTCAATCACTTGACTTAGCCTCTTGGATACAGTCAAGAGATGCAGTGAACATGAGATAGAGACTGCTTCTGGTATATCCATGGTATGCTATTTTAAGTAAAAAAATTTTAATAACTAAAAGAATACCGTTTTTTCTTCTTTCTTTTTTTTATTTGGCTATACTGGAGAGTGAATCCAGGGGCATTCTACCACTGAGCTATCTCCCCAACCATTTTTTATTTTCAGACAGGGTCTTGTTAAATTGCCAAAGCTGGCCTTGAACTTGAGACCCTTCTGGCTCAGCCTTCTAAGTCACTGGGGGTTATAGGCATGTGCAACAGTGCCCATCTAGAAGTAGTACACTTTAAAATAATGATAAAAAGTATAGTATAGTAAATACATAAACCAGCAATGATCATTGTTATCAAGTTTTATGTATTGTACTCAATTGTATGTGCTATACTTTTTGAGGGGGAAGGAGTGGTAATAGGGATTGAACCCAGGGACACTGTACCTCTGAGCTACATCACAGCCCTTTTTATTTACTGAAACAAGGTCTCTAAGTTGCCTAGGCTAGCCTCAAACTTGTGCTCCTCTTACCTCTGCTCCTGAGTAGCTGGGATTACAGGCATGTGCCACCATGCCCAACTGTGCTATGCTTTTCTACCATTAGCGCAATAGGTTTGTTTATACCAGCATCACCACAAAAACCACATCAGTAATGTCTTGCACTCTGATGTTAGGACAGTTACAAAGTCACTAGACAAAAAGATATTTTCAGTCCTTTTACAATCTTATGGTAACACCATTGTATAAATAAATGGTCCATCATTAACCAAACATTGGTTATATAGCACCTGCTATGCAAGTACTCTACCTTTAAGCTACATTCTTGGCTCTCTTATATTTTAAAGATGTCTATTAATGTACATTTTTAGCACAATAACTGTAGACATATGGTAGGGTTTTTATAACTTGATATAATGATTCTGGAATTCATCTCTAATAATACACTGGTAGAAATTTATCTAAGAAATTTTCAGGGACTAGGCATGTTGCTTGTTGTTAGAGCAAGGCCTAGCAAGTGTGAGGTCCTGGGTTTGATCCTCAGTACTGAAAAAGAAAGAAAGAAAATGATTTAGGAAATAAGAATGATAGGCAACTTGCTTGGAGTATATTATAAAGCTATAATTTGAAAGCTTTATAGCATAAAGCTAAATATAAATATATTATCTTACATATATTTAATTATAATGTAACATATTCAGTCTACATTATAATATATAATGTGAATAATATCTTAATCTGTGGGGGGAAAAAATCAAATGATGCTGTTTTCTGCTCCTAAGTATATGAGCGTAAAATATAATATATAGGCTTAAGATACAGGGTGATGAAAGAAAATTTTTGACAATTTAAATTAAGTTTACAGCATTTGAGTAATTTTTAAGACGCTCTTATAAGGAGATAAGCAGAAATTGAGACAGAACTGATGTTTAAGGATTTGTGGTGTTTGCTATGGATTTGTACTTGTGACCACTAGATAATGTCTCTCTGTCTCTTCAGCTGTTGTCTCAGGAGCCCAGCAATGGCATATCCTCAGATCCCACTGTGTTCTTAGATCGCCTGGCAGTGATATTTAGGTAAGAAGGGAGACTCTGGATTTCTTACTTGGGTTAAAATTTCAGATGAATCCATTATATATGATGAAATAGGCAAACTTTTTTCCTTATATTTTGAGGTACTTTCATAATGCTCTCTTTCAGGAGACTAAGCCTGTTACTGAAGTTTTGGTACAAAGTCAAATTCTGAGAATTCAATCTTAGTTTATCTCTGTCAAAAGACCCTTTAAAAACATAATTGAACGCTGGGCATGGTGGCGTTTGCTTATAATCCCAGCAGCTTGGGAGGCTAAGGCAGGAGGATCACCAGTTCAAAGCCAGCCTCAGCAAAAAGCAAAGCACTAAGCAACTCAGACCCTGTCTGTAAATAAAATACAAAGTAGGACTGGGGGGATGTGACTGATTGGTCGAGTGCCCCTGAGTTCAATCCCCAGTACCCTCCTTCTCCCAAAATATATATAATTGAACTAGTTCTGGTGGAACACCTAATCCCAGCTATTTAGAAGGCTGAGACAGGAGGGTTGTAGCCTTAGCAGCTTAGTGAGACTGTCTCAGAAAATAAAAAGGACTGGAAATAAAGGTCAGTGGTTGAGTGCCCTGGGTTCAATCCCCAGTACTAGGGGTGGGGGATGGGGTGGGGAGGAAAACGCGCACATATGCGTGCACACACACACACACATTATATATAATAATTATATGTAAAATATAGTAATTATATTACATATGAATAATTATGTGTGATAGTATTATATAGTATATAATAATTATAAATAATTTGTGTGTAGTTTTAATTTGTATATATAACTATGCAAATTATATGATTTATATGTATAATTATATATAAATATGATTCTGTTTTAAAAATATTTATTTTTTAAGTTGTAGTTGGACACAATACCTTTGTTTCATTTATTTTTTATGTGGTGCTGAGGATCGAACCCAGGGCCTTGCATGTGCTAAGCAAGCACTCTACCACTGAGCCACAACCCCAGCCCCTAAATATACATTTTCAGGGATTCTTAAATTTTAGCATGTGTCAGAATCACCTTGAAAGTTTATCAAAACAAAAATGTTAGTTCCCATCCTTCAAGTGTCTTGATTCATTGGATCTTGGTAGTACCCCCAAATTTGTATATCTAATAAATTCCCAGGTGATGCTGCTTGCTATTCTAAAGACCACACTTTCAGAATCATTGCTATATGGTATATGGTCCAAAAAACAATAATAATAATAAAACCATCTTCAATAATCAGATGAAATTAATCCTCCTGTGAAGAGGAGCTCAATAATTAAAAAGGCATTTGAATAACATTCAGAGCCCGATCTTGACTAAATTACACAATTTATAAACTCATGGGCCCCTTGGGCGTATATGTCAGAGTAGTATTCACTTAGAAAACCTATGTGGAGGGCTAGGGGTACAGCTCAGTTGGAGAGTGCTTGCCTTGCGTGCATAAGGCCCTGAGTTCAATCCCTAGCACCACCAAAAAAAAAAAAAGAAAAAGAAAGGAAGAAAAGAAAATGTATGTGGGATAAGTTAAAATAAAGGTATTGTTTTTGCTTCTTAGCTATTGTCAACAAATATCTTTCTATTTTGGTGCAGAGTTTTCCTTATGTAATTAGGAAAGCCCTATTATATGCCATTCTTGAGAACCTATTGATAATATTCATTATTTTACATTAAATGAAAGAAAATTTGTGATAGATATAAATGCTTGAATTAAAGAAAATCAGATTTTTATTATGTTGTGTTTAAAATCGAAGAATAGGGCTGAGGATGGAGCTCAGTGGTAGAGTACTTACCTAGGAGGTACAAGACCTTGGGTTCAATCCCCCCAGTATTGCAAAAAGAAAAATATTTAAAATTTTAAAGAGTAGTATGGAGTTAGTAATCCTGCAGTTTTTTTCTCCCTTATTTTTCTTCAAATTAGTGGACTCCAGAAATAGAAGAGTTGGATTTGACTTACGGGTGGATCTGTGTTGTTTATCATTGGGTTCAGAATAGAATTATAAGAAACATTTCTGGTAGACAATAAGGCCTAAAGATTTTTGTGGATCTGTGTTGTTTATCATTGGGTTCAGAATAGAATTACAAGAAACATTTCTGGTAGACAACAAGGCCTAAAGATTTTTGTCTTTTAATGCTAGCAGCACTCAGTTTTTCATGGTATATTCAAACAGCTTGTGTATATTTTTATTATTAATTTAGAAGAAACTACATATTTATGTTTACAAAAGGAACGGGATATGGAAAAGGTGGAAATAGTGCCCCATATCCCTAATAACCAGAGTTAGAATAGAATTTGAAGGTTATAGTGGAAGTGGCATAGTGGTGGTAAAAAATGATAATATGGGGCTGGGGTTGTGGCTCAGGCTCAGTGGTAGAGCACATGCGAAGCCCTGGGTTCGATCCTCAGCACCACATATAAATAAATAAATAAAGGTATTGTGTCCAACTACAACTAAAAATAAAAAAAATTTAAAAAATGATAATATGGTTTAAAGTGTGCTTTTTTGGTGTGAATGGAATAGGAGGGAAAGGTCGTTGATATAAGTAAATGAGTGTATTATCTGGTTTTCTTCATTTGAAAGAAAGATATACTAAGTAAGCAAACAGGGACCAAGGCTCTGGTCCTCAGCAAAATTATTCTCCTTTAACAATTTTGGACCCTTTTCTTTTCTCAGACATACCAATCCCATTGTGGAAAATGGACAGACTCATCCATGCCAAAAAGTCATACAGGAAGTAAGTATTAATGGATGCCTATGGAATCAAGGCTTTCTTGTGTTCATTTCAAAGGTTTCTTCTGTTCTTTCAAGGCTTTGGGTAACTGGGTTAATAAGGTGTTGTCTTCTAAATTCATAAGGATATTAAATTTGTTTGTAGGGTTCCAGTTTCAGTGAAATGAGGAACAGAGTCATCCAAATACTTTTTTTTTTTTTTTAAATTGTGGTGCTGGGGATTGAATCCAGGGCCTTGTACATGCAAGACAAGAACTCTACCAACTGAGCTGTATCCTAAGCCCCACCCAGATACTTTTAATTTTAGATTTGATAACAAAGCCAGCTGTGGGGAAATACACTGAAAGGCCAAAGAAGAAATAGAGATTTAACTGTGTGTGATTCCTAGAATTTCTAGGAGGACTGATAAATCTTAGCACAATGTTTTTGACAAAGCTAGTGGCTTCAGTTTCCCTGTTGAAAACATATTTCCCTTGTACTTTTGTTCACTGAGGAAAATGTGAAAAATCAGGAGTCATAGTTGTGAGGAGTGAGCTTCAGACTTGAGGTGGATTGCATAAATCTTAAATATCCTTAATTGTTTATCAAATTATGCTGTTTCCTTAACACCAGTCTTCTGTTCAAGGTCTTCTGCCTTCCTAAAACTACTTAAACATCTCTTTCTCTGTAACCCATTTTCATTCTCATGCAAGAAGGTTGAAGAAGGTTGTAATTTAGAAAATTGCAATCTGCATTTTAGTAAAATCAGACATGTTGTTGGGCTGGGGGTGTAGCTCAATGAAGAACATTTGCCTAGCATGTACAAGGGCCTCAGTTCAATCCCCCCCCCCCCCCCCCCCCCCACACACACCAAATTAAAAAACAAAACAAAACATATTCTTCCTAAAGAATCACTATGAGCTGTGGTGGCATATGCCTATAATCCTAGTGATTGGTAAGGCTAAGACAGGCGGATTACAAGTTCAAAGGCAGCCTCAGCAACTCGGCAAGACTCTGTCTCTAAATAAAATATAGATGTGGCTGGGGGTGTGGCTCAGTGGTTAAAGTGCCCCTGGGTTCAATTCCCAGTCCCCCCCCCCCCAAAAAAAAAAGTCCAGAATCACTTTATTTCTCTTCAGAAGCAATTGAGGGACTGGGAGTGTGACTTACTGGTAGAACGCTTGACTAGCATACATGAAGTGTTAGGTTTGATCCTCAGTACTGCCAAAAAAGAAAAAAGAAAAAAATAAGCTGGGTGCAGTGGCACACACCTTGTAATCTAGAGACTTGGGAGGCTCAGGCAGGAGGATTACAAATTTGAGCCCATTCTGAGCAATTTAGTGAGATCATGTCTCAAAATATGAAAAGAGCTGGGGGTATAGCTTGATGGTAGAGGACTTGCCTGGCATGTGGTAGGCTCTGATTTCAATTCCCAGTAATAGGAAAAAAAGAAAAAGAAAATATCAAGTTTTACTGATGGGTAATGGGTTGAACCTATGCACATATGTGTGTGCATACACTGGCCAAAATCAGGTCATGTATATTTTTATAAAAAGTTTTATCCAGATTATTTAAAAGCCAAATCAGATAGTACCATCGTAGGAGCACTATTTGAGCTTTTAGATGTTGATTATTTTCTTTCTTGTGTTCTTTTGACTCAGATATGGCCAGTTTTATCCGAGACTCTAAATAAACACCGGGCTGATAATCGGATTGTAGAGCGTTGTTGCAGGTGCCTTCGCTTTGCTGTTCGCTGTGTAGGCAAAGGTTCTGCAGCCCTGCTGCAACCACTAGTCACACAGGTAAGTTCTCCACAAAAGCAGAATGTTAAATGCACAGAATTTGAAATAAGACCCTTTAGATCAAAAAGTTTTACTGCCAAAATGCTCTCAATTTATTAAGTGCAAACTGAAAAATATTTCAAAGAAATAAGTGCCTGTGGTAGATATGTTGTCTATAAGGAAAACAACTTGTGATCTCTTTTGTATAATTGTAGTCTGACTACATTCCAGTGTGAAATTATGTGAAGAGAATGAGTCATGCTCAGCCCTTATATACCAAAGCTAAGCACTTACAGATTAATTTCCTTGGGGAAAAACTGTAGCAAGTCAAACTTCACTATTTCTTGGTCCAAAGATATTTTATAGACCACAATTTGTTGTTCACATATATCTCTTATTTGTTAAAAATGAATTTTATTTATTTTTATCCTTAAAGTCAATATGATAGCAAGATTTTCTGTATGAAGTACTCACATCTAGAACTACAATATATGAGATTGTGGTGAGCCGCTTCTGCCGTTTCTGCAGACTATGGTCGCCATTACGAGATGGCGCTGGCTCCGCTGTGGTATGTGACAAACAACTCCTTATCTGAGAGAGTTGGCACATGATTTTTCACCACCCTGTGAGAAAGTTCCACGCGGCAGCTTTGCATTGGGGCTTGGGATGCTTTATTAAGGCTGGGAGGGCATCCGGGAAGAGAAGAAGAAAGAATAAGAAATATCAAGGGACCTGAATAAACTGCTGAGAGAAGATTCCTGAGTTGCGTCTTCCTTGCGGGCAAGGGGTCGCGACATGAGATGCCTCAGCTTACATCACTAAGTAATTTGTATTTATGTTAACCTCAAAGCAGGGCCATAAACTTTGCCAGTGTACCCACATTTTAAGTATTATCTATTGACTTTGATTGTGTGTGTGCTACATGGGAAAGTTGTTAGAAGACTGAACAGCCTGTTAAGGCCTATACTTTTTACTGTGTGGCCCTTCAAAATAAAAGTTGGCCAACCCCTGATTTCAGTCATTCATTAATAGTACATATAGTTTTGAGTCTGTAACACTGAATAGATTCATAGCTCTCATCTTATGCTTGCTCATTCCATGGCATATGCTGGTAGAAGAATTACCAAATCCTTCAGCCCCCACCAAGCTCATAGTTGAATTTATATACTAAGATCAAATGGCATTTTAAATGGGTGAATGTGTCTCGAGTAAAAACAAATATTTTAAATGTATATATTGTACTAAGGTTTTATTTTATTTATTTTTTAGTTGTAGATGGACACAATGCCTTTATTTTGTTTGTTTATTTTTATGTGGTGCTGAGGATCGAACCCAGTGCCTCACACTAGAGGCATTTGCTAGGCAAATGCTCTCTACAACTGAGCCACAACCCCCTGTACTAAGATTTTATTTTGTTGAAATTGAAATATCTTGATTGGAAATAAGTTTTTTACTTAAAAAGTAAAATAGATGAGTTTAAGATCAACTCAAAATCTTAAACAGTTTTTGCATCTTAAGCCTGTAGCTTAGTGGTAAAGTGCCCCTGGATTCAGTCCCCAAAATAAACATAAAGAGTTCTTTCACTGTCTTCTCTAAGATAAGGACATTTGATATTTTTGTTGCTATTGTGGTTTTATATATGGTCTTAAAAAAATAAGACTTGTTGATATTGCAAATAAAATTTGAGCACATACTGTTATAGTTTTACAAATATTACGTGAGTTCCCTCATGGCTTCCAGTTTGAAATATTGATAATTCTCTTACAACATTGTTTTAGCAAAATAAAAGATCAAAGGCTTGAAAGAACTCTTAAATAGAGAACTTGAAAATTATGGAGAAATTGAGGCCTGGGTTTACTATATTGCCTTAAAGAGACCAATCTGTCTCTCAGTTGCTTCCTGGAAAATAGCTACCTAAGTTGATACTTTTTGAAGGGTAAAGATTTTAATTAATTTTTTTTTTTTTTACTTTTTTTTTTTCCTAATTAATCCTGGGGGTTGACAGTACTCTGTGCTACTGAGCTATAATCCTCAGCCCTTTTAAATTTTTTATTTTGAGACAAGGTCTTCCTAAGTTGCCAAGGATAGCCTCAAACTTGGTATTTTCCTGCCTCAGTCTCTTGTAAGTGAGATTACAGGTGTGCCCCGCCACCCTTTGCAAAACTGATGAATTTTTTTCCCTTGGCAGATGGTGAATGTATACCATGTACATCAGCATTCCTGTTTCCTGTACCTTGGCAGTATCCTTGTTGATGAGTATGGCATGGAAGAAGGCTGTCGGCAGGGACTTCTAGACATGCTCCAGGTATGTGTTTCCTTGGCACAGCAGATGCATCAGGCCTAGAGGACCTAAAAGCCAAGCATTGTATTCTTCACTATGTCTTTATTTCTTTGCTTTATGTTTTCCCCTCTATGCATGTTGATTTCCTCATAACAGGAATGTAGAAACTTGCTCTTTGTTTTCTGTACAGATGAGATTGGCAGAAAGAAAGAGCAAGCGAGCGAACTTGGCTACATGAGTATAATAATCATTATAAATAGTATTGCATGATTTATGTTTTCCTGTGATAGAGTGGAATGTTTTTCAGGGGAGTGGGAGAGCATAGGCTTTCCAAACTCAAACATAATTGTATATTTAATTTCTTGCCTGGAATAGCCAATTAACTAGTTTATTTTGCAACAGAGAGAGTTTTGGAGTTCATAGCAGGTGTTGGAAAATGCCTCTAATATACTACTTTTTCCTCCTTTCTAGTCACCTGGGAGCAATAGATAAGGGAATTAAAGTGTGCTACTCCTTTTCCCAAGATATTATTTCACGTAAAATTGACATTTCAGGGTTGTTATGCAAACTTCATCTACTCCCTAGATCACATTTATAAATAGTGTCTTTGCTTTCAGAAACTTATAAAACTTTGAGATGATATTTTTCTGGTTTTATGAACTGAAATCTATACCTTTTACCTCTTCTGAAATGTAGATTTCATGTGTGGAAACAGTTTCAATCAGAAAATTTTTTTCTCTTGCTTTTACTGATTCATATCCCATCTACCCCACCCCACCTCTTTTTCTCTCTTCTCTTTTTTTCCCCTTAGTATTGGGGATTGAAATTAGTACAGGGGCTTTACCACTAAACTACATGGCCACAGAGCCTTGCCAAATGCTGAGGCTGGCCTTGAACTTGTAATCCTCCTGCCTCGGTCTTCCAAGTCACTGGGATTATAGGCGTGCTTCATAATACCTGGCTTCCCTGATCTGATTCTCATCACAATCTTTTCTTTTCTCACCTGTGCTGCCCTTTTTTATTCCCTTTGTATTTGTTGTTGATATTTGGCAAGTCTGAATGCTGTAGCTTTAAGTATTTCTTTTAAAATCACTGTTCTAATCTAGGCACTGTGCATCCCTACCTTTCAACTCCTGGAACAGCAGAATGGTCTCCAGAACCACCCTGACACTGTAGATGACCTGTTCAGGCTAGCTACCAGGCAAGTCCTTCTGAAAAACAAACTAAACTTTTTTTTTTTAATTAATTGCTCATCCCCATCTCTGCTTAATCTTGCCATCTGACACCTGGTTATTTCCTTCTCTATAAAATGAGATCATTGGAGAACAGAGATTAATGATTCATAACCCAAAGGTAAATTGTGAACTGGTATATCCCTAGAGGTTAACGAGGATATACTGGGTGAGAGCAGGCAGAAAAATATCTGAGTTCCTACCATGAAGAAGAGAACATGCACAAAGCACAAATGTGCTTGGTATGGGTTGTGTGGTATAGCTCAGTGGAGGCCCCTAGTTTCAATTCCTAGCATCCGAAAAAAAAAAGTGCCTGGTATGAACATTTGACTAGATAATCTCTACAACCCTCATAGTGTTTATGCCGCTGTGATTATTTCATGCTTCATCCCAGCTTTTTCCTTGAGAAGGTTAACATCCTTCAGATTTAATCATATCTCAGAACAAAGAATTCCTAGGATTTTAAAATGCCTTAGAAGTTACTAGTCCAGCTCTACCCTCACCAGGCTGCTATCACTCCTATCCATTAAATTTCTTTTACCAATAGCACCGACAACATTGTTGCTGACCTTCTGCTTGAATTCCTTCTTGGTCCTTTGTTAAGGAATTTAAACCAAGTCAGTGAACAAATTTAAATACATTTTTTAAGAAAACTTTGAGATGCTCGGGATTGAACCTAAGGATTCATACATATTAAGCATGCACTCTACCACTCAGCCCCACTATTTAAATTATTGTACCAGTGAAAATTTGAAGTCTTATTGACTTGACTATTTCATCTTAGAATTGAATATAGAATACTGCTTTTGTTGGTTTTTGGACAGGTTTAAAAAACAAAACAAAACCTTATTTGTGAATTGATAAAAGAATTATTGGACAGGCAGTCAAGCTCTGTTTTACCAGGATATCTTTCTTGGAAAACTCTTTGCATGTGGTGAAGTAAATTCAGAACATACTGTATTCTTTAAAAAAAATTCTTCCTGTACAATAAAGAATCTGAAAGAACAGGAGATGAGGAAATATAGCTAAGTGGTAGAATGCTTGCCTAGCATGCGTGAGGCCCTGGGTTCAATCCCTAGCATGGTCCAAAAAAAAAAAAAAAATATATATATATATATATATATGTATGTATGTATGTATTTCTACTTGATACTTCTCATCTTCCATAATCTGGATGGTGGTTGCACACATGTAATACTTGGGAGACTTGGGTAGGGGAATCTCAAGTTTAAGATCAACCTGGGAAATTTAGTGAGACCACCGTCTCACAAACAATTGGTAAAATCTTGTGGTAATTTAAAACAAACAAACAAAAAAACCCCCAAACTCAAGCAAAACTACTTTAAAAATTCAGCATTTTCCAACCAAATTGAACACACAACTTGTTTTTGAGGAATTCTTATTGACATCCTGGAAACTGGTGTTCTATAGAATATAGTTTGGGAAATGCTATTCTAATGTGTTGAGGCTCTTTTGTACTGATCTTTGAAGCTACTTCAAAGTCTTAATTGGAAATTGAGTTTGGCAACATGTCTTTTCATATGCTAATCTAAAATATGGCCCCTTTCTTGCCTTTTTGTTTCCAATAAATATTTTTTAAAGAGCAGTTTTAGGTTCACAGCAAAACTGAGTAAACTAAGTATAGAATTCCCATATTCCTCCAGTTTCTCTGTCCCAAACAAGCAAACATAGCCTCCTCTATTAGCATTCCCCTCTAGAGTGGGCCATTTGTTATAATCAGTGAACCTGCATTCACACATCATTGCCCAAAGTTCATAGTTTACATTAGGGTTTACTTTTGGTGTACCCATTTTGTGAGTTTTAAAAAAACTATCCACCATTATAGCATTTTCACTGCCTAAAAATCTTCTGTGCTGTATTTATTCCTTCCTCCCTACAATTATAGCAACAGTTGATCTTTTTGGTATCTTCATGTTTTTTTATCCTTTACCCTGCTTGCTTTTTTGTAGCCTAATCTCACCATTTATTATATCCAGCCTCTCTTTCCATAACAGGTTTATTCAGCGTAGCCCTGTCACCTTACTGAGGAGCCAAGTAGTCATCCCAATCTTACAGTGGGCCATTGCCTCTACTACCCTGGATCACCGGGATGCCAATTGTAGTGTCATGAGGTTCCTACGAGACCTCATCCATACAGGGGTAGCCAATGATGTAAGTATAAACATTGTACCTTTCCTACTTAACAGATTATCATCTCTTCCTCACTTTTTAGGGGAAAACCAGTATGCTAGTAGGTCCATATTTGATCTGTATTACCAGACATATATCATAGTTGATCATTCACCCCCTGGATTATTAACTCCAGATCTAAGGCAGCTGTGCTAAGTGCCTTAGGCATCTTGTAGACAAAGCAGTCTAAAACTGTCCCTGTTTCCAAAATATTTGGTGTCTAGTTGAAGAGATAAATAGACATAGAGATGAGTGATAAAAGTCATGATTGCTATGAGTCAGAATAGGGAAGGTTCTGGACAGAAATTAGTTGGGGTAACTGTCTTAAAAAGAAGAAACTTAAAGCCATAAGATAGAGATAGAACTTTGATGGATTAGAGAGGAGGATAGTCTAATTGGTATATAAACTGTGATCAGGAAAAGTCAGAATAGCACGAAGTATGCTAGTAGACAATGAATAAACCTGTTTGGCTATGTAGTGAAGTGGTTCATAAGATTTTCAAAGGTAAATTTGTCTAGATGTTGAGTAGGATTGAAAGTAAAGAAGAAATATGTGAATGAACTAATAAGTAAAAAGTAATCAAGGTTTATTTTAAAAGGAAATAAGCAAGGAACAAGACAGGGAGGTGAACATGGGAGATGAAAACAAGGACATGAGTTACTTTTCACGGGGGAAAAATGCTAATCTTAATTCTTAACCATTGTTTCTCTTCTGCCTTCTAATCCTGAAAAATCAAATCATTAATATTAATCTCATCAGATACCTATGATTCCATTTCCCTCATATTAAACTCATATTTTCTTCCTAATGACAAAATATTTAATGGTCATTATGAATTCAGCTGTCACATAATGTACTTTTTTCCATGGTAAAGAGTACTTACTAGACTAATGGAGAGTGAGTTCTTGTTCTTTGGAAAGTGGAAACTAGAACCACAGTCATCTGACACTCCTGCTTTGTTACAGCATGAAGAAGACTTTGAATTACGAAAAGAACTAATTGGACAGGTGATGAACCAGCTTGGACAACAGCTTGTAAGCCAGCTGCTCCATACATGTTGCTTTTGTCTCCCCCCCTATACCTTACCAGATGTGGCTGAAGTGCTCTGGGAGATCATGCAGGTTGACAGACCGGTAAGATTCTTTCATAAGCAACCTATTCTCCTAATTCTTAAACTTAATAGACTTTGGTTCCTTGAAGCCTACCATAACTTCGAAACAAGCCCTTTTGCATATGTCCCTTAGAACCAAATTTAGGCATATTGCTAAGTTTAATTGGTAGTTGAAAGGGCCCAGAGAAGAAAAATAACTTATTATCATATTTATGTCTAAATAAACCTCTCATGAGGTTTGTACTGTGTATTACCAGAAGTAAGTACAAAGCATTGAAAGCATATGTGACTAGCCAGTAAGAAATTTTTTCCCTCATAAGAGATCCCATGTATCAGTTATAGTGAGTTGCAGATTATTCCAATATTCAATCACTTTGGGGAATTGTATTATTTCTTACTGATGTATCTAGCCAGAGCATTATACAGTTATGTCCAAGTAGTTTGAGTACTGACCACAGGATAATATTTTTAATATTGATAAAAAAGCTCTTTAGGAAAGTACACAGTTGACCTAAGTGAACTGTCCCTTTACTTATTTTGTATACATTTTGTTCCTACTCTTCCTTATATCTGAAATTTTATTTTGAATTTTTTTCTATATAGGCTCTGGAGTTTTGTGACATCTGTTCATTTTTTTAAATATTGTGTAAGTTTAATGACAGAAACAGAATAATGGCTTATATAGAAAAGGCTTCACTTCCAAAGTGTAGAAGGACTTCATCTGAAATCATGCCTGCCCCCCCTCTGAAGGGAAGTCTAGGCTTGCATTTGCAGACTATATCAACCCAGAGCATTTGAGGGCATAAAGATAGTGCTTTGTTAATTCCTTTACTTGTTTCAAGTCTAGGGGGAAAATGCTAAGGAAAACCTGTGGGGTTTTGCCTATACCTATAAAGTCTCAGACATGTAAACCCTGTCTCCTTTTAAGATTCTTATCCTTTTTCCTTATACAGACCTTTTGTCGATGGTTAGAGAATTCTTTGAAAGGTTTGCCAAAGGAGACAACTGTGGGAGCTGTTACAGTGACACACAAACAACTTACAGACTTCCACAAGCAAGTCACTAGGTGAGTGACGCCAGAGGCTTGTGAAACAAGTGTGAATAGCATCTGGGGTATGTGGATAAAACATCTATGTTTCTTCTGTGCTATTGTAAATTCACAATTTAGTTTCTTTTAGTCTGAGACTGCACAAGTTGGCATTAAAAACCAATCTGGGGGGAATATCACCATACTATATATTTCTATATCACTTACATCATACATATCAACTAAACTGGTTTAAGAATAAGAGGAGGCACTACCTCTCCCAAAAGAAAAATGCAATCAGGAGATCAGTGTTTACCTTTCTGAGTCCCTTTTAGTCCATGTTCAGGGATCAAGAATGCTGTTGGATGGGCACAGTGGTGTACCCCCTGTAATCCCAGCGGCTCTGGAGGCTGAGGCAAGAGGATCTTGAGTTCAAAGGCAGCCTCAGCAAAATCGAGGAGCTAAGCAACGTAGTAAGAACCTGTCTCTAAATAAAATACAAAACGGGGCTGGGGATGTAGCTTAGTGGTCAAGTGCCCTGATTTCGATCCCTGCTACCTCCCCCTCACCACCCCCAAAAAAGAACACTGATTGTGAGTTGGTGATGTAGCGTAGTGGTATAGTGCTTGCCTAGCATGCCTAAAGCACTGGGTTCAATTGTATGTTTTTTTAAAAAAAATGCAGATTCCTGAATAGGTGAAGCATTGGTTATAAAGTATTAAAGGGTAATGTAGACTGCAGTGAATGAGAATTTTCCCCATGCCTAAAGATATTCAAATTCTAATTTCACAGTTGTATACATAAAACATCTCTCTGGGATGTTGTTTAGGACCCTGAGCCAGCTACTTGATCACAATTTCTGGATTATAGCTTAGTTAAAGTTTTTGTGTGTGTATTTTGATTGTGAATAGTAAACCTATTTAATGGTCTTCCTAATTACCATCTTATATCCATAAAGGTGTTACTTGATTTCCTTTTAATTTTTTTATTAATGGGTAGTTAGATTATTTTTATTTATTTATTTTTTGGTGTTAGAGATAATAACAGAACTGTATCTAGACGTGATTTGTAATACCTCTCATCCCAGCTACTCAGGAGGCTTGAAGCAGGAGGATTGCAAGTTTGAGGCTAGCTTGGGCAACTTAATGAGACCCTGTCTCAAAAAAAAAAAAAAAAGAAAGAAAGAAAAAGAAAGTAGGGAAGTAGCTCAGTGTCAGGTTCTTCTGGGTTCAATCCCCAGTGCCATTTAAAAACAAATTAAAAAATATATAAAAATGGTTAAGATGATAAATTTTAAGTTATATATATTTTATAAAGATTGTTTAAAAGATGTAGAATATTCGAAGATGTAGCATTTTTCTTCCTTTGAATATTTGTCTTAAAATATAATCACTGAGTCAAAATCTATAAGACTTGTATGGTCTTCAATAATATTAATGGCAGCAATTTAAATTGGATTTTATAACTGTCTTATCTTGCCCTGATACTTCTTTTTGCAAGAACAGTCTTTAGAATTTTTAATAAATTTCAGGCAATGGCTTAAACAAGTATGGAAAGATAAGGTCAGAGAATAAGTGTTGAAGTGAGATTGGCAATTGTGAAAAAAAAAATTGGAAATATTTTAATTGCCATGTTTAATAATTAATGGTATGACTGTACTAGTAAATAGTCACTAAAAAAGAAAAAGATGCACTGCCGCAGTCCGGCTGCAGCAAAATAACTGGGGGGTGACGAACAACTTGTGTACGTTGATACAGCAGGAATAGGAGCCGTTTATTGCAGGACAGGAGCAGTATTTATACATTCCACACAGCTTATCTAATTAGCATAAACTAGATACATCAGTCAACCAATAAGGAATCTCCACACTTAATGGCTCGCTTTTGTTACTTCTCAAACCACTCCCTCTGGCATTTTGCCAGGCACCATCCAGACTTGTTTACGAACTCTAACATTCCCCTGGCAAAATGCCAGGTGTTATTTTGACTTGTTTACAGACTCCGACAATGCACATGTGATGGTACAAAAAATATACAAAACATTTTGTAAAGGAAGCTAATGGTATCACATAACCCAATTTGAACTTTTGAAACAATTTTTATAATAAAATATATAACTTAAAATTTATCATCTTAACCATTTTTACATATTTTTAATTTGTTCTGATTAATTATACATGACAGAATGCATTTGGCACATCATACATAAGTGGAGTATAACTTCTCATTCATCTGGTTGTATGTTATATAGAGTTACACAGGTCACATAATCATATATGCTCATGGAGTAATAATGGCTGATTCATTCTACTATCATTCCTCTCCCAAAATCCCCTCACCCCCTTCACTCCCTTTGTCTAGTTCAAAATACCTCTGTCCCCTCCCCTATTGTGAATTAACATCCACGTATCAGAGAAAACATTCGGCCTTTAGTTCTTTGGATTGACTTATTACACTTAGCATAATATTCTCCACATCCTTGTATTTACTGGCAAATGCCATAATTTCATTCTTCTTTGAGACTGAGCAATATTTCATTGGGAATATCTATCACAATTTCTTTATCCATTCATCTGTTGAAGGGCACCTAGGTTGGTTCCATAATTTAGATATTGTGAATTAAGCTGTATCACTGTAGTATGCTGATTTTAAGTCCTTTGGATATAGACCGAGGAGTGTGATAACTGGATCAAATGGTGATTTCTTTCCAAGTTTTCTTAGGAAATTTCCATACTGCTTTCTATAGTGATTGCACCAATTTGCAGTCACACTAGCAATGTCTGAGTGTACCTTTTCCCTTTCCCTCCACATCCTTGCCAACATTTTTTGTTTCTTGTATTCTTGATGATTGTCATTCTGACTGGGGTGAATTGGAATCTCAGTTTTGATTTGCATTTCTCAAATTACTAAAAATGTTGAACATTTTTTCATATATTTGTTGGTTGATTGTATTTCTTCTTCCTGCAAAGTGTCGGTTCAGTTCCTTAGCCCATTGATTGGGTTGTTTGTTGTTTTTGGTGTTGAGTTTTTTGAGTTCTTATGGAAATTAATGCTCTATCTGAGGTGCATGTGGTAAAGATTTTTTTCCCATTTTGTAGGCTCTCCACATTATTGATTGTTTCCTTTGCTGAGAAGAAACTTTTTAGTTTGAGTCCATCCCATTTATTGATTTTTGATTTTACTTCTTGCACTTTAGGAGTCTTGTTAAGTTGACTTCCTAAGTCAGTTCCTAAGCTGACATGGTGAAGACTTGAGCCTACTTTTTCTTCCATTAGGCCCAGGGTCTCTGTTCTAGTGCCTGTCTTTGGTCCACTTTGAGTTGATTTTTGTGCAGGGTGAGAGATAGACGTTTAATTTCATTTTGTTACATATGAATTTCCAGTTTTCTCAGCACCATTTGTTGAAGAATCTGTCTTTTTTCTGATGTATTTTTTTTTTTTTTTTTTTGGTGACTTTGTCTACTATGAGATAACTGTATTTATGTGGGTTTGTCTCTGTGTCTTCTATTCTCATTGGTCTACATGTCTGTTTTGATGCCAACACCATGCTGTTTTTGTTACTATGGCTCTGTAGTATAATTTAAGGTTTGGTATTGTGGTGCCTCCTGTTTCATTTTTCTTGCTAAAGATTGCTTTGGCTATTCTGGGTCTCTTATTTTTTGTAAATGAATTTTATGATTGCTTTTTCTGTTTCTATGAAGAATATCATTGGGATTTTTTTTATTTTTTTTTTTTGTACCAGGGATTGAACTCAGCGGCTCTCAGCCACTGATCCACTGAGCCACATCCTCAGCCCTATTTTGTATTTTATTTAGAGACAGAGTCTCACTGAGTTGCTTAGTGCCTCACTTTTTCTGAGGCTGGCATTGAACTTGAGATCCTTCTGCTTCAGCCTAATCTAAGAGCATGAGAAATCTTCTGAGGTCTTCCTCAATTTCTTTCTTTAGTGTTCTATAGTTTTCATTGTAGAGGTCTTTCACTTCTTTTGTTAGATTGATAACCCAGTTTTTTGTGTGTGGCTATTGTGAATGGGGCAGTTTTCCTAATTCTCTTTCAGTGAATTCCTCACTCATGTGTAGGAATGCATTTGAGTGCTTAGCCATGTTTATTATTTTTTTAATATGTATTTTTTAGTTGTAGATGGACACAATATCTTTATTTTATTTTTATGTGGTGCTGAGGATCGAACCCAGTGCCTCACGTGTGCCAGGTGAGTGCTCTACCACTGAGCCCAAGCCCTGCTTAACCATTTTTAAATGTGCAGCTCAGTATGTTCATATTTCCGTATGTGATGGCACACACTTGTAATTCCAGCAACTTAGAAAGAGGCTTAGCAAGAGGCTCACAAGTTGGAGGCCAGCCTGGGAAATTTAGTGAGATTCTGTCTCAAAAAACAAGAAGGACTGGGGATGTAGCTCAGTGATAAAGTGCCCCTAGGTTTAATCCCCAGTAGCTCTCACCCAAAAAAGAAATAGGTTGCAAAACAATCTAAACATATCTCCAATATTTTTTTATCTTATAAAATGGAAACTGTGCCCACTAAGTAACAATTCCCTTTTCTCTGCTTCCCCCAATTCCTAGCAGCCATCAGCCTATTTGATGTTTCTTTGAGTTTGACTACCTCATGTGGCTTATTTTTTATGTCCTTAGAGGTCAGCCATGTTATATGTACCAGAATTTCCTTCCTTTTTTTAAGGCTAAATAATATTTTTATATGCATGTGTTTTATAATTCTATTCTTCTGTAGGACACATTTATGTTGTTTCCAGCCTCTTAGCTTTTGTGAATAATCCTGCCATAAACAAATGTAGAAATGTCTTTGAGATTTTGCTTTTATTTCTTTTGGATTTATGCACACAAGTGAAGTTGCTGTGTCCGATGGTGAATTTATTTTTAATTTTTTGAGGACCCATCATATACTGTTTCCTAACAGCTGCACCATTATTATTTCTCACCAGCATTGCTTTTACCTTCTCCACATCCTTGTCAATGTTTGTTATTTTGTTTCTTTAATGGCAGCCACCTTGGCATCTCTCTTGTA